GCTCCTGAATACAAACTAGAGAGGAATGGTTTTCACATTAGGAATGTTTGTTATTTAAAACAGAGCCATGATCAGTTTCAAACACCTTGACACCTGTCACAAGTACCAGAAGGATTGGCCTGATGCCTGTTAACAGTCCTTATGTGGCTTAATCATTAAATGCCTATATATTCAGGAAGATATTTCATGTGGTAAGATGTATGATAGTTGTGATGAGTGAATTCTACAACTCCCAAACCCGCCTCCTCACCCCACCAAGTCTTAACTATGACTAAAAACTATGTTAATTCCAATAATGGCACCCATGTGATACGTTATACGGTTATATTCTGCTTGTGTTCTGTTTGCTTAACTAAATGGTTAATAGATACAATTTCCCACCTTCAGTTTCAATTTCTTGCTGGTATAGCTGTTTACCAGTCTCCATTGTCATTTCCTCTCCTGCTTCAATGTAAGAAAATCACCATGTCAAAGAGCACAAAGCTCCAAATTATCAAAGCATCCTTCACCTGCTTAGCCAAATACTAAATTCTAATGCAACTAATGCTGCTTTCAGTTATCCAAGGCATCCTGCTGTTCTGCTATTTAGAACATAGCATCTCCCTTGGTTTTTTAAACAGATTGCTTGCTCTTAGTCTCTTTGAAAAGACAGCTTCCTTCTGGATAATGTGAACTACAGCAATTCAGTCTCATTCAAATGCTTAAACAGCAGAGAAAAATTATAATGCAAAAACTTTCTCTGACTTCAGCAGCAAAATGATTAGAGAAGTAAAAAATTTAGGGAAGTGATTTTTGCATCTCAGTCTGCTTTGATTCATTGGGTGCAAAGACCTGGAACATGGAACTCCAGCCTTTAAGTTTTTTAATTAACTTTTTAATCAACTTTTGGCTGTTATACTAAGCAAATACATTGTGAAGGTACATAAAGCTAACTCTGCTTGGTGCAGAACCTGCCCTGTTCTTCTGTTTACTGCTACTATTTCACATTGTGGATGTTTCCTCAGCTTCACTGCTTACTGCCAATGGTGAAAAAGGAGGAAAAATTATCTGGTGATGAGTAAGACCTACTTCTGGAGACAGTTTTAAATTAATTGTTTTAAGAAGGTGTTGCCTCTTTTGTGCACAGTAAATATTCTCCACAGTAAAGCTTATGCACAGGAAACAAGGCTTTACACTTAGTGGAATACCCCAAACACTAAATTAATCTCAACTAGAGATTATAGAACTTATCTTTAAAATTGAGAAAATTTCATGAAGAGACTGGACGATGAAGACAGCAGGAACAAATACTCAGTTCAGGCAGTACCCAAGTTATCAGTTTAACTTTAAATGTCTGTCTTAGTACACTATTCATCTGCTACATGTGACCAATTAAAACCACGAACAAACTCATCAAATTATCATCAAAGAAACTTTATCACAAGATTTGATTCAAACGTCATGTTACATGCGAAATAATACAGTATTAATGTTCTAAATGTCTTTCTACAACATCTAATGTGCACCTTGAAATGTTTGCAAGGACTAACAAATGTTTCTGTATATGTAAGTTTCATTTTACTTTTGTATCTCAAACTGACACGGTTTTAATAACCCTAAATATTAAATATGAACAAACCTGCAGAAACACATCATTCATGAAATTCACAAATAGAGAAACTCTTATTTGACTTTTATCTCAGAGGTAAAACGTCTGGGGAAAGACTCCAGGAGGAGCATGACAATGTTATGGAGTTATGTGAATGCATTTCGTAACACAGCAGGTTGTGGGGCAGCTTGCTCCAGACACAGCTTCAGTATTGCCTGGAATGCATTATCAGCTGTCTCCTTGCACTGTGATTAGTGATCTCTCATGTGTCCACACATCTGTGTGGTCAACCATCCTCATCTTTGGTTCTACAAAACAGAGAAATTACATCTTTAACTAAACTAGCAGGGCTAGTGAGTTTCTTAAGATTCCAAAGGAACAATTTTTCACTTCCCAACAGAAACAAAATCATAAAGGAACTGATGTCAACAGCCATTGTTACCTATATCCCTTAAGAAAACAGCATCAGCTAAAGACATGTACATACAAGAAAGCAAGTTAAAGGTCAATAAAATCACAAACTGAAACTGCTAAGGTTTAACCAGCTCAATTAACTCAACCTTCCAGAGAGTTTAGACAGGCTTCCAGGTGTGACCAGCCACAGAAATGAAAAAAACCACAACTGCACTGAAGGAAGGGGCTACCCTATCACAGAAGTACCAATTCCTAATGTCAAACCTTCAACTTACTTTTAAAGCAAGCATCAGCAAAACATTTTAGTCTTCAGTTACCAGAGACAGTATTCATGTGGAGTAATTGCAGTTACACTCTACCCTGACTGACCCAAAGACATGTTTTACAACTGAGAGGTGAAGACAATTTCAGTGAATTAAACAGAAGATGCAACCTGTTCACCCCACTATTATTTTTACTGATATGTTAACTCTGGATAGATGATATATTCTTCATTAAAAGAAAAAATGATCTATACTTCTTGGATGAGTTACTTCTAGGTTTATTTTTGCTAGTCTCCTGATGATTGCTCTGCTATATAGATTAATGTTTAATGTGTAATTTGTCTTATCCATGTTACTTTGTACTTCTCATACATTGAGCTACTTGGATAAAACGTGCCCAGTGGTCTGCCCAGTCCACAATATCAATAACGATAATTGATTCATAATCTCTCCCACTGCACAGGTTAACTATTAATGATTAAGCCATTTATGGCAGGCAGTTTCACAAACTATAGATGAAAAAAGGAAACACCAGGAATGATATTCAACCTTTGCTTTTATGGTAGTTTTCTTCGTAGGACATTTAGGGAGTGGTGCAGTATCTCTTATATCACCTTCATGACCCTTCTCTCACAAGACTCTTTCTGGGCTGTTGGGAGTTATTTTGCTGCTTAACAACTGCAAGTTTTGCCCGACATTATGGTTGTCAGATTTGGGCTGAAGTGCCTTCATAAAGGCAGCTTCTTGTACTCCTTTGCCTTTGACAAAGCTGAGGTCTCATGCAGAAAAGAAACCTTTAAAAAGAAAATTGAGCTATAAAGTATGATATATTGCTACAAGGCAAATCAAGACCAGTGATTAGTGACCTAAACTGTACAGCTGGTATCTGTTGCTGCAGGCCATAAAGGAACAGGGAGCACTTCTGGAAGCTTTTGTGGAGTCATGTGTCTGTCATTCTTAAGTCATGTGCCTGTTGTTCTTAAACATTCAGGACTAGTGACTCCACTTGGGATTTGGGATTTTTTTGGAAAAGGCAATAAGATGTTGGTACCTTATGCTTCCAAGGCTGGGTAAGCATTTTGCACTAAACAGCCAACAAAATGCTTAAGCAACCCTTGGGAGTAGAGTGAACTTAAGTTCCACTCCCAACCAAATAGATGTTGTAGTGACTAGAATCATCTTTCACTGTTTTCTTCTTTCTGGTTCAACATTTTGAATTCTTCCCAATCATTCAATTTAGCAAAATAGGGTAGAGAATTTCCTCATTACAAATAAGGAAATATTTAGGGTATTTGTCAGGAATAAGAGTTGTGCGTTACATCTATTCAGCATTTCCAAAGCAGGACTAAGCCATAGCCATGCTCCCACATCCCCTTAATCCCATTTTTCAGCACAGTGGTTGTCTGACACATTTTTTAAAAACTCATTGCACGTACATGCTAGACAGCCTCAGAGCACACTTCTTTCTGTCACATAGAGGATGTCTTTGTCCTCCTTTACATGGAGTTTAATGGTATTTATGTATAGATAATGTTTAGATGGAGACAGTTCTGTAGGCACACAACCAGTACTTCACTGACTCAAACACTGAGGACTTCAGACATTTTTACCACTTAAGCGGATGCTCTGAACATTGCTCTCTTTGATAGTAGTTTTGTCACCTGAGTCCACGTTTTTCTTTGTGCTCATAACTGTTCCATGGATCTTGACCTCATTATCCTGATTAAGAGCCTTCCAGCAGTCAGAAATGCATTATGACATTGGGACGCTTTCCTATAAACATTGCTTCTCCCTTTTGTATTCTGCACTCGATCATGCTTCTGTGCCCTCTGTACAAGGGATACAGAAGGAACAGCTGAGGCACTCACTAGTTAGCCATTCTTTTTTCCTGATCTTCACCATCCTTCCCTTTCCTACCATCACCAGAGAAAAAGTAAATTCATATATCCTAGTGTTAGAGAATTGGTTCTAAACAGCACTGTCATTCTAAGAATGGAAACCTATTAATTCTCTTTTATGTAATTTCTGCTTTATACGGTAATTTTTTCTCCTGAGATAATTTTATTTTCCTTATCAATTTCTTCACTGTAGGATATCGCAGGTGTCACACTTTCAAACTAACAGAAAAGAACCTGGGATTCTCAAGTTTTTCCTCTGTTAATTGGTATTGACCAGACTTAAGTTAGAAAACATCATCTCTCTGGCAAGCAAAAAGAGTTCATAAGGCAGTCCTCAGAGTTTGCTTATTGACAGCAGTAAGATTTGTTCTGGAAGACTAATAAACACATCTGCTCTGATAAATATATCCAGGAAGAAGCACAGCAACAAGAACAAGATTTATAAGCAATTTATAAGCACTTGGCCATTCTTACACATGGGGAATAGTGCCTGACTCTGCAATCAGCAGATTTCTTTACTGTAAAGCATTACTTATTGAAAAGATTCTGAAAGTCTAACTTAAATGTCTTCTTGACAGAGAAATATCCCAGTATAATCCTGTAGCATTTCACTGGAGATAGTATTCATTCATTGATAAAATTGGTTTCTGCTCCTGATTAAAATTAGCATTCCTTTCATGTAAAGGCATGCTAATGACTGTGTTCCAGCAAACTGAGAAGTACAGAACTCATTTTAGGAGTAGCCACACAAAAAGGTTTACAGACATCATCTACAAAAGGCCTCAGATCATTAATATTCCCCTTTTTTTGGTCTGTTGTTCGTGTTCTAATTCTTACCATGCATTTGCGATCATCCACCCCAGCTAAATCCTCCTCAAACTCCTTTCCTACATCAAATTCCATGATGTAGTTTCTAAAAGTGCTCAGCGTTTTAATGATCATATGATCCCCATTCTGAATGATTTCTTTGTCAGGTTTAAGCAAGTTTGCTATTTTTCTTACAGCAACATTTACATCTGAAAAAGAAAAAGAATTACTTTAATCCAGAGAAGTCTGTCACAAAAAGAAACTTGTAGCTCTTGGGACAATTCAAATGGGAATGATAAGTAAATGTCCAGATCTTTCAGGCCAGGTTTCTCATCACGAAAAAGCCCATAACCTAATGGTTTTAACTTAAATAAGTTAATGTTTTGATTTGCTGGTTATATGGAATCCTAAAACCCACCACTTGTATTTGACAGTCAATAAGGCCTTCAATATTTCTATAGAAATACTAGCACTTAACATCCAATGCAAACACAAAACTGCAGTAAGTACATTACTGTCACATGAAAAACATTTACTCTTTTTCAATTTATGGTTGCTTTTAAAGTTTGAAGTCTGCCACTTACCTCTTCAAGCTCTGATGTTTAATCTCTGTTAACGTAAGCTTCAAGATGGAAAAAAGTAGAGGCTGCTTAAGACAAAACAACTTTGCATAAGGCAATTCTTAAAGTGCATTCCTGAAAAATACTTCTCAAATGTTTATGACTGTACAAGAAAAAAATAGATTCACATAAAGACCAAGACAGGTTACATTTATTGATTATTGAATATAAACGGAACCTTACCCAGGGCTTTCAGATACTCCTCAAAATTGTCATTGCTGACCATTTTCCAGTAACCATTGAAATCTGCAGGCATCCCTGCTTAGGTGACTGTCAAAATCACAGTGTGTCGATTCCGCACCACACAGCTCACTGCCTTTCTTTGTGGCAAGCTTGAACTCTGGCTTCCTTAATCTCTTTTTTAGCCTGTGTAGCTACGCAAGTTCTTCGAATCCGATTATTGTTGGAAGTGTTGCTTTTGAATCCTTCCACAAGGCTTGACTGCTGAGATTTCCAACAACAGCAGGATGGCTTGATTTAAACAGAATGAAACACTCACCTTTCATGCAACTTCTGTAAGGGTACTGATTATCTAGATAACCATTTTAACCATATTGCTCTTCATTTGTCCATAGCACTTGGAAAAAACCCTGGTAAATAGCTTTAGCTTAGGATATTAGCCAAAGCTATACAAGTGCTTATCTTGTGTGGTTTTCACAAATTCCTTCTCCCCAGCTACCCTATGCCACCTTCTTTTCAGAAAACAATCACACAGACTCTTTCAGTTAAAGCACTTTGTGTCTGGCATTAGTTTAACTTGTTCAGAAGCTCCTTAATTCTAGAGAAATTCTATCAGTGGAAGCTGCTTGGCCATCTGAGGGCTCAAAAAGGGCCACTTAGGTGGAAACTAAGGGGGAGTGGTTAATTCTGTATATTGGTAAATGCTACATCACTACTGAATGCATGCTTTCAGTTAATTTAGAGCAACATTGAAACACAGAGGTAGCACTTTATAGAGATCCTATATTCTTTGAAGGGGTCTTCTGTCAAAAAATGAGATGGAGTGAATAAGCAGAACGAGCAATCAACGTAAGAGAAATGATTTTTCTGGCTAATGTTGGTGCTCAAATACTGATAGCCTTTTAGCTATTTTCATCTGTTTCCCACAGTGTATTTTCAAATAGTATAGATAAAGATCCTCTTGGATATGTCATTCAATCCAGGGCTTTGGCAATTACTCTTATAGAAGACTCTGAATAAGAGAAGCAAAGAAACCCACTTGAAATCTGGGGATGAGGAGTGTCTGTCATTTGTAAATCTGGAGGCTTAAAAGTGACATGAGTGGTGCACGCATTTTAGAGTGCAGACATCAAAGATTTATTCCCATCTCTTGTCTAAGCTGTCAAAACATGGAAGTTATTCAGGGTCCTAAAAAGTCAAAGTTTAACAGTTATATATATTTAAATATATATATATATACACAAAGATAAGATACGGTTCATGTATTTTGTTGCTTCAGAACAGCATCTTTATCCTAAAGCTGTCTGTAGGATTACAGAAGTACAATGCAGGAAAGTGCTATGTTTGGCCCTTACATATTGCTGGAGATTAATATTTATTGTTCAGATCTTACTTTTTTTGTTTTCACAAGGAAGCTGGTTTTTATGTATTTTAAGCTATGGAGCTGAGCATCCCAATTTCCTGTGCACTACCACAAACAAACCCATGAATTTAAAACACCACACAAATTCAGGAGGTTTTGGACTGACTTATTTTGTCCTCATTAACAAGAATCAAGCTTCCCCAAGAACTTTACCGGAAAAAACCTCTAAGTCTGTCCACTTGACACACTACAGACATCAGTCATTGAGTGGGTTTACTGGTGTGCTATGCAGCTTCAAAGGCTCAAGCAAGTCACCTTCATTCTTCCGCTCACTCTCTTCTGTGTAGATATTATGGTGTGCAATGTAGGCTATAACAGAATCAGGAATGAGATACTTGACACTTAACCCTCTGCGCAAGGCATAGCGTATCTGTGTTGCACTGATTTCATTCTGAATCCATTCTTTCACCAGAAAGATATTGTGCTGAAATTTAGATAAAAGTTCTGATTCTTTGATATGCTGAGCAGGATCAGAGCCAGCACGACTAACACAGACCAAACCAAACTTTTCCACTACTTCAGTGATGTGCTCTTCCTTCCAGAGATTGGGTGTTTTAAATGTCTCTAGAAAATCAGCCCCACAGAGCAGCTTTAATTCTGGTAGAACTGGAAAGAGAAAAAGAAAGCAGAGATTTCTATACTTGCTTGGTTTTCTAGGAAGGTTATGCTTAAAACTGGTTTCAGTTCATTACTCTTTTTTCTTTAATATTTTACCTTTACTCCAGTTTTCTTCCAAAAGGTTGCAAGAAAAATTCAGATTGGATTTTATGTGTTTGGTCATAATTACTTTATCACACACTTTACCATAACTCTGTTTTCAGTCCCCTGCTTTCCAGAGTCTTAGCTGGGGTTTATGTCACAGCTTGATTTTTAACTAAGAGCAACCTCCACAATAAAATGGTACTCTGTCCCACACTGTATTAGAGCTAATCTGATGCCAGAGCTTTTATAGTGTTGATGGGTTTTCCCTGAATGTACATGCATTACAGTTCTATGGTACTAGAAACTAAATTAACAGATTATAGGCTTTACAAAAAGGCTGTCAATTTTATAGATACATCTCCATATATGGCCACATCTCACATGCCAATGAGGAAAGTGAGTCTTTGGTCTTTCAAAGGCACTTTGCTAAAAGATGACTGCAGTTTCCACTATAGATAATGATATAAACCCCTAAATCAAGGAGGGATGGCAAATCTTGGACACTGAAAAACAGAGAAAGGATTTCGTAGTCTTGTTATTCTCATCTTCATCCTGAGTAATCAGCACTAATACACTATTCTACATGTATAACTGCCAGAATTTGTCTATACCTGTCCTCAATGAACCTTTTTATTTGTATATTATTTTGTATATTAATGAACCTTTTTATTTGTATATATATTAAAGTGACCTGATTACATCATGTGGAACAAAATCATGAGGTTCAGTATCTCACAGCACAGAAGTCTTACAGTTTAGTAGGCAGATATTTAATAGACAAATAGTATATTACGGAAGTCTGCCAATGCTAAATTCAGCCATCAAGCTGATCTTTGTGAAAGCTTCACTTATGTGAGTTAGCCTTTATACAAAAAAAACCCAATTCAACAGATTTCATTGTTGGCAGGGTTTTTTTGGGAGGAGGAATTAGGGAGTAGTTGCCTGCCTTTGCAAGTTTGTGCTAACCAACATCTATTTTTGCATCATAAAATACCAGGTTGGAAGGAACCTTTCGTGGCAAAGCATAACCTAGACAAGATGTCCCAGCAGTCTGTCCAGCTGAGCCTTAAAAGTGCCCAGTGCTGGGGAGATTATTCCAATGGCTGGCTGTTCTCACTGTGAAAAAGGAGGAGGAGAAAGGAGAAAAAGGGTAGGAACTTTGTTCTGCTCTCGAGTTCTCAGTAGCTCTTGATCATTCTCCATGTCATGCTAGTGAACAAAGGAAGTGGGAAGAAACCATTCTGCTCCTCTTGGTGGGCCACATACCTGTTTAATATAGACAAATCCATACCACTGCCCAGTTGGTAAAAGCAGTGAAGACAGTAAAAGTAAGTAAAAATAAGATGCCAGCAATCATGATGCTGCAACGTGGATGACTTGCTTACAGTCTTTAACCCCATCAGACACAAGATTCTACTGCAGCCCAAATGCCTTGACGCTTGTTTTCCTGTATCATCTATAAAGATACAACTCATCATTTGGAAACTTTTTTATAACCATGAAAAAATTAAATGTATTATTCATGTTCAAGGAGTGCTGCAATACTACAGAGTGTAATGTATCAAAAATCTAGCAGCATCCTACCAAGTCATACGGCTAAAACAGGAAACCCAAACCTGACAGTGTTTCCAGAACCTGCCATACTTCTAATGTCAGCAAAAGCTATTCTGTCCAGAAATGCAGTGAACGTCAGTGAATCAGCAGCACTGGTGTGATACTCATCTACTTCATTCATTGTTTTACACTAAATTACAATTCTAAGTAATCCCTATACTTTCTGATATTTCTTATTCATATATCCTGTGCTTTGCAAAAGTAGCAGGGCCACAACACTCATTGCTGACACGGCCAATGAGATGCTTATAAAACCAAGAATGAATACAATTCCAAAGCAAATCTCCCATCTATGTGGGAATAACTGCAAGTCATGCTGGCATTTGTCATGGCTTGGTTTTGGCAGGCAGCTCCAACCCTCAAAATTTATGTTCAAGTTCTTCATCAATTAGTCTAATCTGGTACAGCTGTGTAATGTTTAATGCTAAACCAAGAGTCATGTTTACAGTTATGAACCAACCTGAGCGCTGGTAAGAAAGGGAATCTTCTGTAGCTCTTTCTATGGGCCGTTTGTTTTTCATGAATTCCTTCTTAGACTGGAGCAATCTGAGTGATTCGTTGTAATGGTGCCTGCATTTAAAATAAAGGCTTCTGTGTGAGGTAATCCTCTCAGACATGCACAAAGCGATTACCTGGCACTTTCAGATTCAAGAACACAGTCTGCTTTCATGCACTTTGAATAAAGTTTGGTAAGAATTTAGCATATTCCTTCTGCCATGAGATCAGCAGCCATGCAGTTCACATTTTGCAGAATTCACAAGCAATCTCTGTAATGGCATTCTGTTTTTCAAATGCCTTTTTGAAATTCTGCCATTATGGCACTTTTACCATAACATTACATTTGAAACATTGTGGAGTTTTTTGCTTGGAATAAGATTAAATCACACTTCATTCACTAGATTTAATTTCTGGATTAAATACAACCCCTTATGGAGATGTTTCCAAAATGTGTGCTCAGTTTTCAGGGGACATTCTTGTTTTCTCTCATACTCTTCTCCACAAAATGCGTTCCCCAAGTTTTCACCTTGTGATTTTCCCTTTCATAGAATCCCAGACTCGTTTGGGTTGGAAGGGACCTTAAAGCTCATCCAGTTCCAACCCCCTGCCACAGGCAGGGACACCTTCCACTAGAGCAGGTTGCTCCAAGCTCTGTCCAACCTGGCCTCTAATTAAAAGAATCACAATTCTGAGAAATTCAAAACAGGCAATTCTCTTAAAATTTCTGACATCTGTTGTGCTTCTAATTTTACCAAGTTGAGATCTGTGAAAGCAGGCAAGGATCCTTTTGTCAGTTTTTCCAGGTTTCTATTACTTAATTCTTTTGCTGCTGATGATCACTGGTGGCCCACTGCAGTACCGGTACTATCACTTCTCAGTACTGGCCCCTTCT